CAAAAATGCACGGAAGTCACTTCCATGTCTTAAGTCAAAACGTTGAGGTCAAACCCGTGATGCAAAAACCGAACGCTGAGGTCACACCCGTGTTTCAAATTCAACATGCAAGGGTGAGACCCGCATCTCAAGTTCAAAATGCAGGGTCCACCCCCACATTCCAGAAGCAGGATTATGGCGCATACCTTCACACAGGTCCTACATGGCAAATCCCTTCAACCAAGATGCCTTCGAAGTAAGTGCAGAGAACAAATCCTTTACCGCAAGGAATCAACAGATCCAAGATCAGAGTTGAGATCCAAAGTATTCCGAAAATTCGTCCCAGTCAACCGCGAACTTTCGAAAACTTTGGAGGGGGTTCTGTAGGCTGTCTAAAAATCACAATAGATAGCTGATCCTCATCAAAACACCGATGAAGGAAGTTACACTCTGACGACTTCCAGAAGGTTATAATTTGAAGACTTTCACGTAGACTGATAAAGGTTACAATCTGACGACCTTTGCAACAGCTGATGAAAGCTCTAATCAATAGCCTCCACAATCAACATCGGGAGTTACAATCTGACGACTCTCACATATCAAAGAGCTAAAGCAAAGATTACAAAACGACGATCTTTGCAACGTTCTGATAGAAAGAGACTACAAATCGACGGTCTCTTCAAACCAAGACGTGGAAGTCCTCCCCGCGTACCAGCATCAAGACGCACCGTGTTCATAGCCACGAACGTAGCTCAGATGCAGCTTCCAAATAGCTGCAAACGCAGCTCAGACGCAGCTTCCAACGCTGCCAACACTGTTTCCAAATCGCTGCAAACGCAGCTCAGACACAGCTTCCAACGCTGCCAACGTAGCTTCCAAATCACTGCAAACGCGACTCAGACGCAGCTTCCAACGCTGCCAACGCAGCTTCCAAATCGCTGCAAACGCATCTCATGTTCGGCTGCAAACGTAGCATCTAACTGCTGCCAACACAGCTTTTAACAGCTGCCAACGCAGGTTCCATCTGCTGCCCAACGCAGCTCGCAAACACTATGTTCAAACGCAGATTTCATTCCAGAATGCAGGATTTGCGTTTGACTCGTTCAAACACGAGCTGAACGGTTTCAAAACCGTTTCCCACAATCTGAGGGGATCACAACTCCACTCAGGAGTGATTTAAGGGGCGGTTACATCCCATTAGCCCCACTTAGGAGCGAATTAAGGGGGGCGGTTACACCCCTTAATCCTTTATAAATAACTAAAAAATCAGCTTAGTTCGGATCCGGGGATTTTGGGCTGGATCTTTCATCCTTCTTTTGGGCAGCAAAGAAGAGATCTTGGGGAGAATTGCTGGAGCTTTGAAGATCAGCAACGGGAGCTTTCTTCATCATTGGCTTATAGACCGATTTCGGTAAATTAACTCTTTCATAGAGTTTCAAACTCGTTCAGAGTTCTCCACAACGTTAAATCGTGAGGAGAAGACCATGTTCCAATAAATCAAGACGCCGGATCGTCAACGAGAAGCAAACTCGACGCGAGCATTCGAGGGAGGCATCTCATCGCCACCGTGAAGAACCCAGAATTAATTAAAGGGGAGAATCCAGATCAATTCTCCTCTCTTTTGTAATCAGGAAATCCAATTGTAACTGGGATTAAAGGAATACAGATCAATTTTCCTTCGTTTCTTTTACTGCAAATTTTCCCACAAACATCCACACACACACATTTTTGTTTTTTGAGTTTATATAAATATGAAATTACATATTTCATATTTATTGTTTTTGTTTTTGATTTAGTTATACAAATATGAAAAAATAAATATATTCATATACATACTCATACGTTTCATATTTATCATTTTGGTTTTTGTAAAGATGCATATATTATGCAAAACATCATTTTTGGGAAAATGTTGTGTTATTGGTTTATGGACTAAATATTACTAGTTTATATCTTTTACTTAGTCTATAAATCCATTCAAGAGTTTTAAAAGTTTGTTTACGTCAAAATATCAAAAACAAGTGTATTGTGTTTTTCATGTTTTTGAACTATTTTACAAAATAAAAAAATTTCTCTTTTAGGAGGTGAAAATTAAAAAATTATTTTTGTGACATATTTATTATCATGTTTATAAATATTTCCCAAAGTTTTATATTTTTTAGAATTTATTTGTAATTTTTTAAAGTACTTCAAAAATCAGTTTTCAAATATGAACAGTGCTTGTGCATGTTGCTTGTGCATGTTCATGAGTCGACTTATAGCTCATACAAGTCGATTTATGAACTACTCTAGAAAATATGTTTTTATCTGCTGAGTCAACTTACGTACCAGCAAGTAGACTTATGGCAAGTCGACTTATGGCAAGTCGACTTACGTTCTGTTTTCCAGTTTGTTGTTTTTGTCTGTTGAGTTGACTTACAACTGAAACAAGTCAACTCATAAGACATAAGTTGACTTATAATTTGACCATTGTACAGTAACGGTTAGTTTTCTGTTTTTGATTATTTTATTGTTTTTATGGGTTTTTGGTGTTTTCTTGGGCTTGTTTCTTCCACCCTATATATACCCCTTTGTCATAACTATTTTGCAAGAACCAAGAATATTTTTAAACAAGTTTTAAGGGTGTCTAAGTTTGGTTTAAGTTTGTTTTCAAGTTTGTGTTTTTGTGTGAAGAAATTTTCACAAGAGGAAGAAGAGATCATCTTTGGTGTTTGAGCTTCAATCTCTCATCTCTCTCACTCGTTATTTTAGAGAAGTTTTATTAAACTCTATTTTAGCTTTATATTCATATTATTTTTTTATTATCATTTTTATTAAGCTAGATTTTACATTGAGTTTAGTTTTTCATTTTACTCATTGAACACACACAACCATTGAGCTTTTAGTATTTCACATTAAGTATAATTTGGGTTGTGGTGAGTGGTTCTTGAGTGTGAGCTAAATTGAGCTCTCATCCATTATAGAGAACAAAACTTTGTAATTGAGCATTCATTGTGAGATCACTTTGTAATACACACTAACAGGAGTGTGTGGTGAGAGACGAGGTTGATTCCAAGAGGAGTGGCGTCGGTAGTAAGGTCTAGAGAGAGGTTGTAAATCCGAGCACTTGAGGAAGACGACATGTGTTAGAGACCAACACTTAGATGGTGTAAAGTGTGATTGTAAGAGTGTGAGTTGTGAAAGTTTTCGGTGAGCTAGAAAACCGATATTGTGAGGTGTAAACGTTTTTGGGTGAACGTCGAAAACCCATTGTGATAGTGGATTCTCCCCAGGAGTGGGGACCGGAGACGTAGGTCGGAAGGACCAAACTCCGTGATTATTTTTTTGTGTTTGCATTGCTCATTTGTCCACTATCTTGTTTGTATCGCTTCATGTTTATTTGCCCTTTATTACAATACTTGCATATATCATGTTGAATATCATACTTGCTAGGTTATATTTGTTAATAAGTTTTAATTGCATTAATATCAGATTAGATTAGCATTAACCCTATTCACCCTCCCCCTCCTCTCTGGGTGCTTTCACTGTTGATGAATTTTCAGGATCCGTCATTGTTGATTAGAATCTATTGTGCGGAAAAGATCATATGGATGAATTTGGAATGGTCTGGCTTTAAACATGTGTTTGTGTTTTTTAATGAGGGAACTTCTCCATGATCTTTCGGACCTTAGGTATCAAACCCCTAAGCGTGGTTAAGAAGCAACTTCAACATAAATCCTCAAGCCTCAGGTATTCTAGGAAATTAAATGCTTGTAGATGCTCCACAAGAGAGTCATACCTGAAGCCTAGCGTACTACTCATAAACCGCTTACCAACTCAACTAAACCCTGTAGGGTACTTTAAGCTAAATATTGTTTTGTCTATTGCATGAAAATTTATGTTCTTTGTTTTTCTGTCTGGCTAATTTGAGTCAACATTTACCCAGAGTTATTATGTGTCACTACTTAGCATTTATCCATGTGTCATCAAAAATATTTGTTTATTATGGACCATGTAAATCTTAAAGCAAACAGAAAAACTCATCTATAACGTCACAAATTTCTTAAGTATAACTCACCTATAAGTCTTAAAGCAGAGAGGATAACTCATCTATAATGTCACAAATTTCTTGAGCATAACTCACCTATAAGTCACAAATTTCGTAATATGCTCCAAGAATCAAATAGATTGGAACATCCCTTGGAATGAAAAACGATTTTCAACCAATTGTTTGAACTCCTACATCTTAATTGTTCTTAAGCCTCATCATAACTTTAAAGTTTTGACGTAATGATTAGAGAACTTACCAACCTAGATTCAAATCTCACCAGCCACAAATTAAAAGTAGTTTTTTTTAAATTAACACCGCTGCGTGAGTTCAGATTTCGGTCAATAAAATGGGCAATCAACCTGCGGGGGGCATAATGTTAGAATAGAAAAATATAACCTCAAGTCTCACCATAACTTTAGAAGTTTGGTGTAATTGTTAGAGGGTCTTAATTTAAGATAATTTATGTATACTACGAACTTCTGATTTGATTGTCTTTATTACTAACCATCCCTGTTCTCTTTTCCTATATTCCGTTTCACTAATTATGTACCCGATTGAACTCGAGAGAGTATATATGAGATGGTATTGATATCTAGTAACTAACTCCTATGCTCAATAAATAGGAATTCCCATACGCATAACCGGCTTCAGTCCGTTTAGTTAGTTTTTTTTTTTTTTCCTCCTCTTAAATTACGTACATAAATAGATGGATACGTGGTTTTGATTACTATCTCTTATAGTGCAATTTAGTTGTAATTAGGCCCTCTATTGCTGGCCACTAGATTTAAAGAATCGATAAAGCTAGGCTAACTTATTACAAATGTGCTAACACCCATGACCGCAACTGTGTTATTTGTTGGATATCACTCTCAAATTGAATGCTCACACCGTTTTCTCAACTACCTAGTGGCTGGCCTTGAGAAGCTCTCTCTCCACCTCCTGCACTATAAATAGGGGACTAAACCTAAGCTCGATCTTCTCACAAAAAAATATGGCTTCTAGGGCTTTGTTAGTTATCATGGGTGTTCTCTTGGTTGCTTACCTTGTTCTTTTTATGGAGGCGGCAACAGCGAGCAGGGAAATGACTGAGAAACCAGGTAAACTAAACTAGCTAAATAATTTTATAGATGTACGTACGTGGGTGTGAAGAAAAAAAAAGTTTTATATATGTGAGTTTTATCACACTTTATCACTTGATATATATGCCTCATTAAGCAATTAAGCAAAATGAACTACCTGATCGAACGTTACACTTTATTTCACAAGCACATGCTCACGCGCACACGAGTAGATGAGGTTATGTGCTCGTCCACTCTCTTGAATTGTGTCTTGCAAGTGTAGCGAGCACCCAGCTCCAAATCATCAGCATATATATCCAGATTAATCATAATTGATGGTCCTGATATGCACCACGTTAGCATCATCACTCCAGACTCTAGTTATTATATACGTACGCACACTATGTAGCATATTGTGATTGCTCCTTACTAAAGTACATATGATGCATAACCAATTAGAAATTTGTCATTCACAATCATTTAGTGTTTATGGATGATCTTGATTTTTATTTTAGACTGAAAAAAGCGAGAATTGATGTAAATCACAGGATAGATTTCTAAAATTAAATGAATTTCAAACTTGCGTTATTATTGTAACTGCAAATTTTTGACATTAAAAGAGCATTACCTCTGCACTGGTGCATATGCATGTCCAATGGACGTCTACCTTCCGTATGCATTATACAAAACAATAAAGATCTACTTGTAGTAGTGGCAGAAGATCACTTTTCAGACCCTAGCGGTGGATACCCGGGCGGCGGCGGTGGATATCCTGGTGGAGAACCTGGAAAAGGCGGTGGGTATCCAGGCGGTGGCTATCCTGGTGGTGGCGGAGGAAATCCCGGTGGCGGTGGCTATCCTGGTGGTGGCGGAGGAAATCCCGGTGGCGGTGGCTATCCTGGTGGTGGCGGTGGAAATCCCGGTGGCGGTGGCTATCCTGGTGGTGGCGGAGGAAATCCCGGTGGCGGTGGCTATCCTGGTGGTGGCGGAGGAAATCCCGGTGGCGGTGGCTATCCTGGTGGTGGCGGAGGAAATCCCGGTGGCGGTGGCTATCCTGGTGGTGGCGGTGGTGGATATC